TTATTATTATTATTATTATTATTATTATTATTATTATTATTATTATTATTATTATTATTATTATTATTATTATTATTATTATTATTATTATTATTATTATTATTATTATTATTATTATTATTATTATTATTATTATTATTATTATTATTATTATTATTATTATTATTATTATTATTATTATTATTATTATTATTATTATTATTATTATTATTATTATTATTATTATTATTATTATTATTATTATTATTATTATTATTATTATTATTATTATTATTATTATTATTATTATTATTATTATTATTATTATTATTATTATTATTATTATTATTATTATTATTGTTATTATTACAGTTTCTTAGTGTGAATATTATTCTTTTCCGTCGCTATTGTTTTTTTCCCATTTTAAGTAATTTTATTGCAAATATTGTTTATTTTAATGATATTCCTAGCATGAATTTCATCAAAATCAACCTTATTTACAGTGCAAATTCTCAACATTCGTTAAATAATTTCCGCAAAAACGAAATCATTTCAGTTTTGCGGAAATTACTTCACAAATGTTAAATTAAAATGTTGCCAAAGTGATAATTTGTGAGTTGAACCTTTATGTTTTGTTTCGTTCTTTTTTGCATTTTATTTCAATTTGTTATTTCATTAATTAAATTAATTTTATGAATTTTTTATTTGTTGGTATGTACAAAGTAATTTGTGCTTATTCTATTGAGCGTTTTTAGTGCTTATTCTTTTCTTCTAATTTTGTTTTTTCCCATTTTGTCAGGAATTTTCGGTTACTGTATTGTTTTGTTTAAAAAAATCATTTTTTTTTTTGGCGATTTTAGTATAGGTCGATTTATTTGTGAAAGAACCCTTGGATTACAGTACTTGGATTTGGTATATTCTGCGTTACAGTATTTGGATTTGGTATATTCTTGCATTACAGTATTTAGATTCGGTATAGATCGATTTATTTGTGGAAGCATTCTCACAATGCAGTGTAATTTTAGAACTGCCTATACAACTGTGACCACTATCATGGAACACAAGCTATGGTGACCTTTGTGGACAATGGCGAATAATTAGTTTTTTTTTTTTTTACATGATTTCGCATTTTTCTAATTTTTTTTTTTTTTACGACTGTCTCTTAAATGCCATTCAAATCTGTGGTCATTTATTTAAGTAGCCAAGCATATCTTTCAAATTCATAATATCAAATTTTATCATCTAATTGCTGATGCTATTTCTGTGCTGAATTTATCATGATTTATTGTGATATTGATATCATGAATATAGTTCTTATCAGAATCATTTATTATTATGACATTATCAATAAAAGGATGGTCATCTTATCACATTTGAAATTTGAAATTTACATGTTTATGACTTTTAAATGTTATGAAAATTATCAAAATTATCATCGGCACTTGAAGTATGAACGATTTAAAGATTAAATGAAATAATTTAGGATTAAAAAAAAAATCGTTATTTATGATATTAAACACTAATGGATTTTAATCCGTTAGCTATAGAATCATAGTCATGTGATGCTTTTTTAATTTAAACATTCTCTTTCATCAAAATTTATCACTCCAAAATCACTATTATCAGTTATCTCTTTTCTATATTCGATTAAATCATTAATCTTTTATCAGTATTTCAAAAATTTAAATACACTTCTATACAAACAACTGATTATTCAACAAGCTTTTAAAGAAAGTCTTGAAAAATGTGGCTTCTTATCATTATCGTCTAACTCTATCATCAGTTCTTATTTTAATTCTTCACCGACTTTTTTAACTGTCCGCCTATGTAATTAATTATTTTTTTATCATCCAAATGTTTTTTCTTTCCGAATTTCTATGATTCTTGAATTTTTTGCATACTCATTAATGATTTTATTCATTTGTTAGATTTGCATTTGAATTTTCACTCATTAAAATCATTTCTGATTCCTATTATTTAGTGAAATTTTTGAAGATTATAATTATTTCGCACTATTATTTGTAAAGAAAAAAAGTGAATATATCAGGTAAGCATTGATCTTTGATTCATTTTCAGAAAAATATTTCTGAAATTTCTTCTTGCAAAAAAAAAAAAGAAGAAATAATGAGATGATGAAATGTATGAAATTAGTGAAATAAATAAGAATCTAAAGAATGAAACGTAGCAATTATCCGGGAACTTTCTCTGGATGGATTAGTCAAGAATAAAATGTCTGTACAAGTTTTTTGATCTCATCTAAGTCTATCGGCTTCTTATTTGCTTCCTCATTGACATTTGCATATTTCTTTGCTTACTGCTTAAATTAAAAAAAGAAAAAAGAAAAGAGCACATTTTAATTACCCACTGACCGTTTAGTCAACATTTTGGCTGACTATTGGTTGTCATGGAAGAAAGAGAAAGAGCAGCAGTATTAGGCTAAATGATTGCTTCTCATTAAATGGGGTCATTTAATGTCTTGATATATAACATTGTGTCATTGTAATTAAATGGTTACTTCTGATTGGGAATCGATCGCGTGATAATCACCACAGTAATTGCCATATTTAATGTTGAATGGATTTTCATAATTAGCCTAAAGAATGAAAATGAATTGAAAGCAAAATTATTATTATTATTATTATTATTATTATTATTATTATTATTATTATTATTATTATTATTATTATTATTATTATTATTATTATTATTATTATTATTATTATTATTATTATTATTATTATTATTATTATTATTATTATTATTATTATTATTATTATTATTATTATT